CCCCCCCCCCCCCCCGGGTTCTTGGCTTGGCCTCGTTTATTTATGACAAAATACCTCATAAGAAATGCATGGCTTTTCAATATGTTTGCAACTGGGTAAAATCATACAGATCGCATAAAATGAGAGCGAATTACTAAAAACTAAATATTAATGAAGAAACACTCAATAAACAGCCCATCGTCAGTTATTAAGAACGTGTAAGAGGGCCGCAAATTTGATAAGCTAATTTTATAGGTAACTCTAATCCTCACTACTCAATCAACTTCTTACATTGTGTAATTGACCGAGATTTTCTAAATATTGCTTTCGACATAATTGCCCGGTGACATATTCATTGTTTAAATATTTAATTGTCGCTGGCAAATGAAAATTATAAAGAACGGCTGTCGATCTAAAACAGACTAAGCTTATCCTGTTTATCCGGAGGTCAATGTACGTATATTCAACTTGAAAACAATGCGCAAGAAATTAAAATTCAAGTCTCAAAATAAAATGTTTCATCAGTGACCTCTTATTTATATTGTGTGGAACCACAATTAAAGACTACAGTTGCATCAAAGAGTTTTCTTCATAACACTTGTTGAGTTTCTTACGCCGTCTGGTCGCTCCTCTTCTCTACAGAGGTATCGTTGTGTCATGGTAAATCAAAGCGGGAGTCTTTTTGCGGAACCAAGTAGGCGAGGAGGTTTTATTTACGGGCTGGTCGTATTAAATTCGCATTATGCGAGGATCTATTGTATTAATACCGGTATTTTACATCACTGATTTACTAGACAGAGCCGATTCTAGGCTTAATTTCAGGTTTTGCGGCCAGCAAAAGGGTGAAACTAACCCTTGAATAGCAACAGAGCCTTTTTTGCAGAGCAAATGTCACTTTAGAGATTGAGACAAGAATACTAGGCGACAGTTGATACTCTTTGGATGACTTCATAGCCGGCTTTTAGGTCTTGAGGTCAAGCCGGTAATTGGTGAACCAAAGTGGTACCGTTATAACGTCGATGTGTTTATCTAACGCTTTTAAAACAATGGAATTAGTTGATACCACTAAACATAACAGAGATGGCTCACGATCGTAAAGCATTAAATGTGTTCTATTATTTTAGCATTATATACAATAATCCGAGCTAGACATGTTGATTTTGTGTAATTACGACAAGGTGGAATGGTCATCGGTTTGAAGTTTCATCGTGCAAGTTAAATTGTTTGGACGTTTAAAATTAGTTAGAAACCACTAATCTCAAGTAACCTTCGAGCTGCAAAAGTGGTTTATCAAGCAATTTGTGATCAACTTCGAAGGCACGCGACTCTATTGTCCAGATTGTCCCCAATCGTCCGTCATGTTTTCCCATATCTCCATCAATTTTTAGTCACAATGGAACTGTAAAAAGCGGACGCCCACGAAATCATCCCAACCCGTTTTTGAACCGTGACAACCTTGGTAGCAACTACAATAGATGTCTTCGCCGACAACTGCTCCATTAAAAACCTCAATGATATGTAAATAAGCGGCTCCCTTTTTAATTTTTGTTTGACATTTTAGTGTCAGATATACTGGCAAAATTCTGGCACCATGCTTCGAGTGAGAACGGGCTTGTCAATTTTTACTTTGTTTTATGATAATTATTATCATTATTATAACTTTTTTACAAAGACAGACTCCGAGGCACACCACGTGGTCTCCTCGTGTTTAATGGCGGGAGAAGTGTGCCAAGTGGCGAACAGCAGCGACAAGAGCAGACAAGCACTGTCTGTTTGCATAATTATTCGTAAAATTGCGTGATCTCTTTTAGGATTTGTAAGTGGCTTTTGTAGCTCCCAGCAGGGACTCNTTTTAATTTTTGTTTGACATTTTAGTGTCAGATATACTGGCAAAATTCTGGCACCATGCTTCGAGTGAGAACGGGCTTGTCAATTTTTACTTTGTTTTATGATAATTATTATCATTATTATAACTTTTTTACAAAGACAGACTCCGAGGCACACCACGTGGTCTCCTCGTGTTTAATGGCGGGAGAAGTGTGCCAAGTGGCGAACAGCAGCGACAAGAGCAGACAAGCACTGTCTGTTTGCATAATTATTCGTAAAATTGCGTGATCTCTTTTAGGATTTGTAAGTGGCTTTTGTAGCTCCCAGCAGGGACTCTCCAGTAGCTTTTCCTCACCAATTTCCGTTTCTAAATTTTTAAAAGATACTTTAAACCATTTTCAAAGATTTGTTTACACCTTGGTGACCTTTGCCGATTGACACTGCAGACTGACTCTCCCAGGGGCTGTTCACACTTAGAGTCCGAGGACCAGTGCCTGGGTACTGGTACATTAAGATTATGCTGTGTTCACACTTTAGGTAACCGTGTGAACTGTGCACATATTTCCTCCAGTTCGCCTGTCAGATCCCACTGTTAAGACTTGAGCGTAGCAGTGAGTTGCGAGCATGCAAAGTAGTGGATTGCCCCTGAAGATTAAACAAAAAAACGTGTGTCCGTCACAGGGACCCATTTCACTTTAGTGCTTGTACTCGTGTACTGGCACCGTACATTTTTTAGGTTGTTACAGAGGCAGCATTGATTGCTTTTTGTAGCTAATAAAATAAAGATCTATCCAGTCCTTTGCAAATTGTAGAGCGGAAAAGTTGTTAACGGCGGCCAACTCCTAACCGTATGTTCCACTTTGGATTCCCTTCAGCTGAATGAGAACTTTGACTAGGAAGTGAACTGACTAACAGTCGTTAACTTGTTAAAGATCAGAGATGGTTCGCAGCATGGGTTTTAACCGACGATCGGAGTAAAATATTGAGAAGGAGTCAAGCGGACTTCTAAAATTAAAGTCAGGAGCATATATATTGAGCATTCTTTCGTCCAATCTTATTTCTCTCACTCGTCTCTGTAGTTCCAGTAGTTCCTGTAAGGTCAGTGCCTGACCAATAAAGCCTCTGCCTGTTCATTAATTAAGAGAAATCAAGAAAGGCCTAGGTTTACACTTCCCTGTGAGACCCTGTAACTTAACAAGTCTAAACAATGAAACGCTTACCTTCGCATTGCCGGCAAAGCCATACAGTCAGTTCAGTAAGCCAAAAACTTCTTATCTGCCTCAATCTCTCATCTCTTTGCCGAGATGAGATGGACCGCGGGAACAGTTTGCCTGTTTCCAGATTATTTTTAATGGGCATAAAACTTATCGGCTTTTTTTTGCAATCCTTTTTTTATCTTTCAGTCTAAGGGTTGTGGTATAGATTGAACAAAACTTTTGTCTTAGAGCTAAGTATAATAAAAGCCAAGGCTAGGAACATGTTCACAAATCTTCACAATCACCTAGACTATTAAAACGCTGAGGTATAATTTTTGCGTGAATTCATTTGGGAAAAAAAACAATTTACTGGTTGTTGTTATTTTTTTTTTCTTGATTCAAAACTGCGATTCTATAAAATATTACGTCCTTCAGGAAATAACATTGCTTATTATATGGCTGATTCCGCAAGCGAGCAAGATTAATCCAACCCTGTGCTCTGATTGGCTATCGCTACACTAGCGGGCAAAAGGAGCTTATCTTTCTCGCTCGGACTTTGGCTCCGACGTTCTCTTGGTCATATTCTCTATGTTAAATATTTATTGAACCAAGACTGTTAGGTCAAGATGTCTGTACATTCGATTCGTCTTTATTATCATTATTATTATTGATCTTCAATTAGTCTCGGTTGATAAAAACGCAAAAGAGAATTTGGCCATTATACCACACGGCTTGATCAATAACGCATGGTATCATTACGCATTTACATTCTATGTAGTCCTCCGGCTGTAATGTCGGAAATTTCTCGTCTAGACTACGAGTAGTCCCCATTTTTCCTCAGGGATAGCAGAGCGAGCGAAAAGCGAACGCGCATGAAAATCACCCCGCGCGAGAAAGGCGGGGCGCTGCGTTCGCTTTTCGCTCGCTCTACTATCACTGAGGAAAAACGGGGACTACCCGTAGTCTACTTCTCTCCCGGCTCAGCAGTCATCTTCAAATCACTTCAATAGATCGACGTTCTCCTATCATGTAAATGTGCAAAACTAATCTACTAAAAAAAAAATAATTTTCTGGTA